TAAGTTGGCTTTCGACTATTCCAACACAGAATATCCAGTATTTACAAAATAGCTTGCATAATTATAAATGGTGAATGGAAGAAGATTAGTGAAAGGCTGAAAGAAAAATGAAAAACGGAACTAACTCTTTATTTCACCTTACTCTGATACCTTTGTTTGTCCCTCTAGGCTTTGGTTGGAAACGTTATTTCTTAAGTGATCAACATTGAATCACTGAGTACTATTAAAAATACCTATTAATCAGTAGGCGTAGACCCAATCAGATCTCAGACATTGATTACAGTATACAACATGATCAACAACTTTAAGATTTCCAATTACTTATCCAACGTAAATTAACAACAAATCACGATAATGGTTGTCAGGAGATACAATGACGTCATTTATGGAGAATTTTAAGTAAGTTAATTTCACAATAAATCCTGAGCTGAAGGTGTTGTTTAGAAGGACAACGAATACTTTGCAATTAAATAACAGAACACAACTGAATCATAATATCACTCTTTACAGTCCACTTTATGTCGTGTTCTTCAATGAAATACTTAAAATGTCAACATAACCAAAAATTGATCAGTGAGTTATTCCCCAGTAGCTCTTTAGATATACAGATATCCATAAATATCTGTTTTAAGGATTTACACAAACATGATTGTAAAACTAGACGGCACTCATTACAGTCCATTATGTTGATAAGAATATATTGGTCAGATGTACAGAATGGCTACCAAAATGACAAAAAATGGTACTCACTGTAATTTGACATCAGATGTTAGGAGATAATTTTCAAGAAGCCCTGAATCTAGGTATCATGTTGATATAAGTATAAAACTTGGGCACTGTGGTAGAGTATAACTTCATAATGGATAAGATTTTATTTTAATAAATCACACAGTGTTGTACAGTTAAATTAACTGATGACGTTTCGAGCACAAACTATTGCTCATAATCATATCAAGTGATATGATATGATATGATTATGAGCAATAGTTTGTGCTCGAAACGTCATCAGTTAATTTAACTGTACAACACTGTGTGATTTATTAAAATGAAATCTCATCCATTATAGGTATCTTGTTGTATCATACAAGTCAGCAAGAAGCATCTGAAACCTTATGAATCTCAGAAGGAAAATGTGTTCCCCAAATTTGAGGATAGAAACAGAAGACTTAGTTTCAACACTTATTGACGATTTTCTCCTAGTTTAATGTTATGGTAGTCTCTGAATACTTGTAACTAAGTTGTGTGTTTTCAGTTCAGTTGTAAAGTAGTGTAAAAACGCAACTATGAGATGAGTACACTGAAATAAAATAAGGTTTAAAGTGCAATAGGAATGAGTCAATACCTGTCCTGGACATCTAGAAAATTCTACTTCCATAATGACAATTAGAAAAAAAGAAGAACGAGGACAATAAAAATCGAGTTTCAAAGTTGTGTAGTCACAAGTGACACTATTATTATGAACAATAAATCGTGTTGGAAACGTCATCCAATGAATAACACTGTTTTCAAGTGTATTATAACCAACAGGCAAATTAATACCGGATTACTAAGACCATCAAAACTAAATTATTTTTTATGCCATTCAGAATGCATAAGAGTGTGGCGTTTTCAACCTGTACTGAAAAGTCTGTAGGCAATCCAGTGAGGTTCAATTAGATGTCACGTGTGTGGATGGATGTCCCACCAACGACAATGGTTGGGGTTGCGCTAAATCACGAATTGGTAGAAGTTAGAATTCATAAGCCATTGAATCGGGTCCCAGTGACTGAATGGAATACGAGCTTGCCTTGTAACCGGAAGGTCCTGGGTTCGAATCCCAGTGGGTGCGTACTGCCAATGATTGCCAAACTAGGATGAAACAGCAGCTGTCCAGTACTCCCTGGTTTTCAATGGTTCTCTAACTGATATCAATCCGTGATCAACTAGTAAAAACATAACTAACCCTTACAAACCAAACTATAGAAAATCTAAAAAAACAGAATTTAAGTAAAGAATTAAAGTGGACATGTTGATATAAGTCAGCCAATGCATTCACGTTTGCGCAAAAAAAATACCATTACACATTGACAAAGCTTAACATTAATCCGTGAAGTTATGAAATGTTGACTCAATTCGCGTAGATAGATGTAAACTACCTGGCTGAAGAACCCTATATATAGTGAACCACAGGATTGAAGACCCTTAGTAATGGGACTTTAAATGGCTCATAGTTGTCTAGATGAACCTTTCTTTTTTTCCACATTCAGTGCACCACCGATGGTTCAACGGTAGAATGTTCACCAGCCACTAACATGATCCGGAGCTCAAATCCCAGCTGACTCATTCCTAAGCCTCACTTAGCCACCTGTAAGTTCAGTGAAAGAAGTTTGGGCGTGAGGCTAGCAACCTCACCACGTAAAAAAAATAACACCACTGCTACTGAAAAATCAAAGCTCAAAGCTTGAAGTCCTATGTTCCACTAGGAACGCAAGGGAATAAAATAAGTAAATAAAAAAATCATTACAATACTAATCATCGTTAAATAATGAACTCCTCCACATATGCCTGTATCTGTATCATTAGATTCCTATTTTCTCCTTTCATATGTGTTTGTTCAAAGTATGGAGAATTAAACTGATACGTTTCTATGCAAAATTAGATGTGCACTCAACAGATATAAGTTAGCCATTGTGGAAACATTAAATATTGAGTTTACTGTCATACATTTTATTTATAGATAAAAGTAAATTGGACTAATTGTTTAGTTATATTTATCCAAAAACTCTTCTTATACTGTGTTCCTAAACGACCTCTGACAGAATTAAAGAATGTGAGAGACAAACCATACACTATGTTAATAAATAAAACAGTAATCTTCCTTACATTTTGACTAAAGAAAAATTATCAGCTGAATATTTATAGTGGCTGCAATATTTATATCAGTTTTAATGTGTTAATTAGTATGAAATATTTATAGCCTAATTTAAACATAACCAACTTAATCCCTGTAAATAATACAGAAATTACTTCACCAAGAACTAACTGATCACACTATCCAACCTTTCTGAATGTAGGTCTAGTCGGCTCAGTCTTTGGTATTTATGTGATAGACGGGAGATGGAGATGGATTGGACACAAGCTGAAGAGACCGTCAGTTGACATCAACAGCCAGGCCCTCAAATGGAACCCGAATGGAAAACGACGAGTTAGGCGTGAATCCGAGGGTGACGTAGAGGAAATCATGTGAGGAGAAGAAAGCTTATGGGCAATCGTGGGGCCAGCTGAAGAAGACAGCAGAGAACAGGAAAAAATGGAAATGTGCTGTTGAAGCCTTATGTTTCACTCGGAACCCAAAGGAATAATAGTTATCATTATTACAGATGGGAATTTAGTACAAATAGAATCATTTTTCAAAGACAGAATCTTTCTGTGACTAATGTGTTCTGAAACCTGAAAATATTGAGTGAAAACCTAGATGACTGCTCAAAGTATATTATTTTCCAAGGTATCCATTGATACTAGTTAATTATAAATGCGATTCTTGAGTATATCCCAACAGATGTCACAGAAGAAATACGACTGGATATGTAGGTGACTTGGCGATGACTCAATTGATAAGTCAACGTGTCACATGTGTTGCGCATGCTTAACCATTTCCTTCCTCAACGGGTAATGTTATCTGAAATAGGATGGATCACGTTGGAAAAGAGCTAGTGGTGGCATGAGTCCATGAAATCTTTGACAGTAAGTTTGAATCACGTTGTTCGGTGTAGGATGCCTGGTTGGGGTTCTCGGGATTATAAGAACCAATGGCTGGAAACAATTGATGATATGGCTAAAAAACCGTTCTGTGTAGTGTAGATTCATTCACTCTTTCTGACTTCCCACACCCATTAGTTCCTAATATTTCTTCATGTTACTATTCTTCCTCCCTCAATTTTCTGCTTATTATTATTGTTTTAATTCCCTTTTTCTTTTGTCTGCCTCTGTGTGCTTCGTGGAGTGTGGCAACTTGAACTGCTACACTTCTGTAAAAAGTCCTATGCTGAGACTCAGTCAGCGGAAACACAAACTCATATGATCACAAGTTATTTTTTTTGTGCAGCCTGTTCTCCTGTTAAAGATCTCATCTTCTTGAATTTTCACATTATTAAATTGTGATATAAAAGTTGGGTCTCGTAGCCCATCCTGTAATTCCCAAGCTAGTGGTTGGAGTCCTGACATGAACTAGATCTTCCCTTCACCTCCAACCAGTACCTGTTTCATTAATATTTAGTCTGCCAACCCACAGTTATTTCATTGGACAGTTGCACCATGAAATAAATTTATTGCAGCTGTTTGAAATAAGATTTCACAACCGATTTTATGCTTACATTAAGCACTGGAAATACTTATGTAGTCAAGATATACAGTCATACAGTTATGAGTATACTAAAGAAAACCTACATTTCTGTTAGTAAATAAGATAATGAAACTTAAATGTCTACTTTATTCCTCAAAACCTTTGGAAATCTCTTGCATTTTTGTTCATTAAGATCATCAGTGGATTTTCATCATTATGCACCTCATTTTAATCAAGAGAACACACGAATAGGGATGTATTGTTGTTTTCTCCGTCTAATCCACCCAGTGTAAATAATTAACAGCATAACCTTTCATAGTCCTTTACATAGTATTGTATATACACACAACAGACTACTTATTTACATTTCATTATAAACAGTAAAAGTAAAGACAACTGTGAGTCTGGTAAATGAAATAAAGTGAATATACCATCGCACTGACCATCCTTTCAAAATAAACCTGCTGATTCGAGCCCATAGTATATATTTAGTCTGTACATGCGTAGGATCTAGCTTTTACAGAAAAAAACCGACCGGATAAATCTGAGTAATACTATGACTAGTACGGATTTACACATCACATGAAAAGCACGTAAACTTGAGAAATTATCACACAAAAAAATAAATTCAATTCTACTACAAATTGTTCATCCATAGTTTGCGAACAAAAAAACTCACCGTAAAAGAAACATGCTTTCAGAAGATTTCTAATTTTAACAATTTACACGAATATCATTGTAAATTATTTATCCATTATAATGATTTGATTTTTGATTTTATCAATTCGAAATCAAGGATTGAAAAGTGTTGTTTATCGAAAGATTTTACATAGGAATGAGTTAGATAACTATGTCATATCAGCTGCAAGCATGGTCAGAAATTGTGCCATTCCAAGAAAGGCTAGTGTCCAATTGTCAGGCGGACAGACGTTTAATCGTGCTTTAAATGAGATCAAAACATAAACAAGTCTTTTTTGGTATACGTGTGTGTGTGTCTGTTTGTTTATTTGTTGAGGCCAATTTTGCTTCAGTGGGATTCAAACATTTGGGGGGTGAGATCTATCTTCAAATGTCCTTGAATTGACGTCTATCTTTAAGCCATAGGGCGACCTAATATCTGATTGGTTGATTACTCTGCGATTCTGATTGGATGGTGAAGAGCATGACGAGAAAATGAAAAATTATGCATAACCAGGTCGAATCCTATCGACACGGCACTGGCAACGATGAGGTCATAATACCTATGATTGGTTTTCCCAAAATGCTATTGCCCAACTATGCCAAAAACTAGGACAACTGATAATTTGCATTCGTTTATCTCCTTGTATGTCTGTCTAACTACATCTGACAGAGTAAATTTTACTCTGCGACCTTGACCCACCTTTAGCTTGAAAAATAGATCACATAACAGACCATAGACATAATCTGCTTTGAAGAGCAATTTGTTTGTGTTGTGTTTAGTTTTAGATTGGCTTTTGACTATTGTTATAAAAGAAAACAAAAAAGCAGACAAACTTCTATGTAATTTAAGTGGTGATTTTATAGTTAGGTATACATAATAACATTATATTAGCGAATATTACTGTGAAAATCAATATGATCATATGCAGAATATAAATTACGTTGAATGACCATCATAGAAGCTTATTGCTTGAAGCAGTTGACTGTTAACCACTTAGACTGGGTATCATTATAATTCACCTATTACGTCTGGTCTTTTAAATGTCTTACATGACAGTGTTTTCGAGTTTGTGAATAGATTTCCAATAATCAAACATATCCTCATGTTTTTCCACTGCTTTCAATCATTTCGTTTAATCTCTAGTCTCAAATTTGTTTGCCCTCTTGGTTACCAAAGTAGTTTGGTCAGAATAATGTTTAGTGTACTAATAGGATTGTGTTCAGGAAATAAGATTGATGAAGTGCTCTTGAATACTGAAAAGAATCTAGTGGAGAATGGATATCCGAAGAAGAGGAAAAAGGTTCAAACTGAAGCCCGTAGCTTTTGAGAAGAAACCAGTTTTCATTTGCCTGGTGTACAATGTGAAGAAAAAGTATCAACAAGAATTGAAGAAAAAAATCAAAGGTGTATTGGAAAAGACATTTTGCACTGCTAGACTGATTTCTCTTTATAACACAAACCGCTTGCTAATACAGTCCACAGTAGATAAGTACCCACCATTATGTCACTTCCAACTGTAGACACCAATTTACATGCACTTGTGGTAGTAAGTATATAGGAGGGACTGGGCATCTAGATTTTCTGAGCATATCCCCAATAATCTTCATATGGAAATTTACAAGAGGTTGCTTGTGCGATTGCTAAGCACTTGACTGACACGAGGCTTTCAGTCAAAATCAGTTAAGCTTTTAAAATAATCGATATACAGAGAAAACCTTGGCTACATCGCTTCTCAGCAGCCATCCCTATAGAAGTATTCCAGTCTAATATCTGTATATTAGCAAGATACTGTGATTAGTCTCGCACTACACTGGTATCTAGACGTCTGTTTCTGTGTTTTGTCGCGTTACAACTCTTTTGAGCACAAATCACTGAGCTGAACTTAGTACTAATTTTCCAATTTATTTAATTGTTTATTTACTTAATAATTTTACCTTTAATTACCATTTCTTTCTTCCTGATCTGTTGAAAGTTTCATCCATTTATGTATAAATAAACTCTGTTTGTCAGGTTAACTATCTTGTGTTCATATCTTTGGTTCCACTAGTGTGGTTTTTAAGTTCAAATAATTTTTGAAGTATACTGTGTATTTTTGTATTTATAACTTAGTTTGTTAACAGTTGATGAAAAGCCGTAAAATAAAAATATTAGTTCATTTTTATCCAGCAGATTATTTTGTCCTCTTTTTGTTTAAACTAATCAAGGGAACTGGTTGAATAAAATACTTGAATATTAGCTACAAGTGAATATTTTAACTAGAAAGCATAGAATCTGTAGTTTGTAATACTTCATAAAACTGTTTTCCTTTCATTCCTTGCATTCCCACCCAAAACATAAGGCTCCAAGTTTCAGTAACGGTGTTGTTAATTCAACAGGGTTTGATTACCAGTATCAAGCCTAACTTTCCCGATTTTCTCAGCTAACTAGTGATAATTAGCAAACTAGACAAGGTTTATGGGTATGTCGAGCGGGAGTCAAATCCCAGACCATGCACATACTTGGCGAACATTCTACCAGTGAACTACAAAACGCAGTCATACAACTCTAGTGAATAATCAAGCATTTTAATAAGTATCCGCTGATATTCTATGGGAATCGATGGGTGATTATATGGTATATCCCTTTTTTGAAGTGACACCACCTACTTTATCCGGTGGATATTTGGGCGTTTCAATCAATATGGGCCAAAATACACCAGCACGATTTCATGAAAATTCGATAATATATGTTTAAATTTTAAACTTACTGTGCAGATATCAGTACAAGCAACATTTTGTAATAAAAGTGAAACAAATGTAACGCAGTTTCAAGAATATAATGCCACTGATAATATGTGTGCCAGAAAAAAGTTTTACAGTCAAGATTTCATTTAAATAGCATGGGAAAAAATATAACTTGTCATGAAACCACCGTAGCAAAGGACTACGACGCTACAGTTAGCGGGGATATGTATAAAGCCACTCGAAATTGGTGATTAATTTCCAAAGTTTAATTTTTTTTCCTTAAAACTACTAAAGTCTAAAGTGTAGATGCACAAGTATAATGAAACTTAGCTCAAATATACCATATGTACATTGATTAGTCGCCATATTTTAACTGAGACCGAATAGCTCAGTGGTAAGATCTCTGACTTCAGCACTGGGTCACACGTTTTCGAATCTCAACAGGATTATGAGCTCCTTCATAAGTGCGTCGGTGGTTCAGAGGTTGAGTGCTCGCTAACCACGCCTCACGTGGTCCAGGGTTTGATCCTCGGCTGATGCACTCCTTAACCTCGCTAAACTAGTAGTAAGGCCAATATAGAGGGAAAGTTGGGAGTGAGGCCAGCAACCTCAACCCTAAAAAATAAACATCACTGGTACTGAAGCTCCTAAGCTGTAGCTTGAAGACTTATGTTCCACTTGGAACGTAAGGGAATAAAATAAAATAAATAAAATAATATCATATTTTACACAGAATTTCCTCTATTACACACACCAGAATTTAATATTTAGCCTCGGAACTCGAATAGATGTCCAAGGGAAGAATTATAATCAAAATGACTAGCTTTATAAACAGTGACAAAGGAATTTCTCGACTCTTATTCATTGGAGTTCGATTATTAGAATTTATGTATTATACCTTAACTTCATCGCCTTCGAGAAGGCCTTCAACAGCGTCGACCGAGAAGTGGTTTGTAAACTGCTTCAACACTACGGCGTCCCCCAAATCTTTATCAGCTTCATTCAACAGCTATATGACAGTGCCACGTGTCAGGTGATCCACAATAGGAAACTCAGCGAGGATTTCGAAGTGAATACGGGAGTAAAACAGGGCTGCCTGTTATGACCAACTATAATATTCCTAATTATGGGTGACTGGATCATGCGTCAGACCATGAATGAGGAGTGAGAAGCCAGGAATACGTTGGACTGACAAGAAGACTCCAAAAGATCTGGGTTTCGCGCGTAAACTTGAAGACTTTCGGGTGGAAACCAACAAACTGGCAGAAGAGGAAGTGAAAACAGGACTTCAGGTGAACATAGCGAAGATGGAGGTGATGAAGATAAGCAACCAACACGAACAGCAACAGAAACAGCAACCAGCATCAACCGCCATCAAAGGGAGAGATTTAGCAGAGGTTACTTCCTTCACTTATCTAGGAGGCATTGTTTCAACTGCAGGTAGAACGGTTGAAGATGTCAATGTCAGTTAGGATTGGTAAGGCAAGATGCACCTTCATCAACCTGAAACCAGTTTGGAAATCTTTTGCACTGCACTCAGCATAAAGAACAAGATTTCAATTTTCAATACAAATGAGAAGTCAGTTGGTTCTTCTATACGGATCAGAAACTTGCATTGAGTGTCACGAAAAGGATTTCCAACAGATTGAAGACTTATCAACAGCTGCCTTCACTCCTTATTGAAAATGAAATACACAGAAAGAAAAAGCAGCAAGAAACTCTGGCTGGGAACAAACCAATGGAGAGCCGATTGCTCAATAAATATGTAGAAGAAAATCGAAATGGATAGCGGACACACTGAGGAGGCCAACGAATGACATAGCGCACCAGGCCTTCACTCGAGTGGAACCAGAATGGGAAATGACTAGTCGGTTGTCACTGCGAGGGTGACATGGAGTAGATCATGCGAGGAGGAGATGAGAGATTATGGGCTATCGTGGACCCAGCTGAAGAGGAGAGCAGAGAATAGAAAAAAGTGGAGATGTGTTGTTGTGAAGCCCTATGTTCCACTCGGGACCCAAAGGAATAATAATAACAATAACAACTTAAGAAACCTTATGAGTGTAGTTAAGTCGAAATTTAAAGTAGAATTCTCTATACTCTTTTTGAAATAACTGTTTACCTCACATTTATGGTATGTTATAATAGCTTTCTAAAACAAAATGAAAAATTTCAACTTCAAACAGATGTATGTGTGTGCCTGTGTATAGGATAATTTGTAATGTCTCTAAAAGATACAAGTGACGTCTTCACACTGAAATGATATTGACATTTTCGAGAATCTCAGT